GTATTACCAGATTTGAAACGGGCAAACCAATCCCCTTCATCGACTTTCGATGATTGTTCCTTCGCCAAAAAGTTCTTTGTGATCGCGAAATGACTGCGCTGCTTTCCATCCTTTTTCGAAGTGTTAAAGCATAATATGACGAATATGAATATGATTATTGAAACGCATTTTTATAACCAGAAAATATTTTTTTTTTTAAAAGTACACAAAACAGCAATTTTTATTAACAAATAACTCGCCTACAAAAACGACAATATGCCTATATGTACTTTTCACCTATTTTTTGTGTGAAGAACTCGCCTCCGGAATTTTTTTTTTCATACAGGTTATATATATATATATATATATATATATATATATATAAAGGGAAGAGGTTATAGTAGTTCTAATGAGAGAAAAGTGTGTATAATAAAAAGGAGAGAGGAACCTCAAAAGTTTTTGGTTTAATGTGGATTTTAAAAAAAAAAATATTTTGCTTTATTTTTATTAATTTTTTAATTTGTTTCCTGTCTCATTCACCTTCATCAGGAAAAGAGTGGATATTTCCAAATATTATTATAAAGGAATTAATTTTTCTTGAGTTTTTCGATGTTGAATATTCTCGATATTTGACAATTTCTTTTTTGCATTAATTCTTCCAAATGTCTTTCTTGAACTGCTATATATATATATATATATATATATATATATATATATATATATATATATAATTAATTGTTCCAAGATGTGAAATTAGTAAATGCTAAACACTTCAAATACCTCTTATAGTTTAGTTTTTTCGAGATTTTTGGTTTAGGAAAAATGGTATTGAACATAAGTGGCTGCGCTAGAGGTAGCTGCGTCCAACACAGCAAATTGATACAAAATCGAAACATTAACCTTAAAACTCGGGTCATGCTCTTAAGTGGCCTCGTCAAATCCGGTCGTCCATATGAATGGAACTCAATTGTTCAATTGTATCAGCTACTTTCTAACATTAATGGTTAAAAATGGCTTTGAAAGAGTGACGCCTGTGGATTTGGACGAAGACCATCCTTATTCGAACCTTGGCGCTACGCAATCACAAAGAACTGTGCCAAATAACAGGAAAGCCATCACTTGTGGACTACCAACAGCACCAACAGCTAAAATGGATAGCACATTGTCATAAAGTGTCACTGCCGACGTTTGGGTTTGAGCACGGATCGACAGAAATGACGTGTAAAGGATACACACACACACACACACACACACACATATATATATATATATATATATATATATAATCATTATATATTTTTTTTTATATATTTTCTTTTATAGATACAAATATTTAAGTAAATGCTCTGTTTTTAATAAGCAGTATTAACAATATTTACCTATAAAAAAGAACGTATAAACATAAAAAAAATGTCTTAAAATAATTGTCGGACCATTTCATAATGTGTGACGTCATTTGTTTACATTTGGATACGCATCGAGCAGATATGAATGTACGAGACAAAATCTTGGAGAATTGTGGTTTAAAAACAGTAAAATCGACCTTGCTAACCGAAACGCTCCTCTGTGGCTCAATCTTTAAACCACGTCAGGCTATCTGACGGTTTCTTTTTGGATAAAGGTTCGATTCCTGTCGAAGACGCATATTTTGTATAAAAATTTCTCGGACATTCAGGCCGGTAAATGTTGTTTATACTGTTTATTATAAACAGAGCATTTACTTAAATACCTGTATCTATAAAAAGAGCGTATAAACATAAAACTGTATATATATATATATATATATATATATATATATATATATATATATATATTGAACAATAAAAATATTAAAAAATTAAAATCTTCAGACACACTGGGTTGTAGATTAATATTCTTTCGTTTTTTTTATTATTTTTCATTTAGATTCCTCGACTAGTTTCGGCCAAAATGGCCATCATCAGGAGAAGAAATATTTCTGCTTGCTGGTAGCAGTGAACTACAGAAATGAATGTCTTGATGGAGAAAATGAAATTTTGTCTGTAGTTTTCATTTGTTTTTTCATTTTTTTATCTTTTTAACATGAATCTTTTAATATTCCTTGTGTTGGTCAAACAGTCTCTTTTAAGTTGTTATTTGAGATAAGAGCTGGATGGATCCATGCTTCTCTGAATTCCCTTAGTCATTTTGACAGTTTTATTGGTTCCTGGAGGGGATGTGTCTCTGTTAAGTGTTTGTGTGTGTGTTATTTGGTTCTTAGGGAGTGTGTGTATGATTTGTGATGTGTGGGTGATGTGTGTAAGTGTGTATATTCATTAGGGTGAGTGTGTAATACAAAAAGGCCTCAATACCTCCGTAAGCATGTCTGTCTTGTGTGGGTGAGAAATGTGGGTAGGTTTTGATTTGTAGGGTTATATATTAGTACTATCTATATTGTTAAATTTATGGTTTAGCCTGGCTGGATATGTGTTTTTTTTAAACGTTGTATCCACTTATTTTCATGGAACTCTAAAATCTTTCTAATGTTATCTGCTCTGAACTTTTCTATTCTCTCAATTATAGTGAATTTGGCATGGGTTTTGAAATCGTGTTTTCCAGGCGGAAATGTTGTTCTACAGGTAATAATTTTTCATGGGGAGTCGACTTAATTCGATTGCGATAATTATTAATTCTGTAGTGAAAGGGCCATTCAGATTTTCCTACATATTGTTTCTAGCATAGTGTGCATTCTAGGAGGTAAATTATGTTATGACTTCTACAGTTAGAATCGTGGTAGATTTTGAAAGTAGATTTAGTGATTGAGCTAGTGAATGAATTCATGTGTTTAATATGGTTGCAACATAAACTTTTTTTGTTGTTACATGGTTGGGAAAATCCTGTTGTTTTTGTTCTTAGTTTATTACGGATTACCTTGTCCCCTGAAATGTGGTTACTACCTATGATTTCTTTTAGGTTCTTAGGTCTACAATATGCAAGAAGGCTGGGTTCCTTAAACAATTTTTTTTAGGTCTGGTTTGAGATGTAGTATTTCCCAGCGACGTTTGATTATTTGGGATAGTGGAGGCAGAGTGGGGTTGAAAGTGGTTACTAGAGGAATGCGGCTAGATTTATTTTTAATCTTAGGGTGTCTTCTCTAGGTGTGGAAATTGCTTTATTTATTTGTTCCCTGATTAGGTGTTCTTTATAGCCACGTGTTGTGAATTGATGCTCCAGATTTTCAATGTGTTTATTTAATTCGTCATTGTCGAAACATATCCTTCTGAGTCTAAGTGCTTGTGAATAGGAAAGGTTGTCTTTGAGGTGTTTAGGGTGGGAAGACTTAGTGTAGATAGTTGTGGTTGTCGGTGATTTTAGTGTGTAGTGTCGTTTGTAGTTTCTTGTTTTCATCTATGTTAATGCGGATGTCTAAAAATGTTACCGATGTTGTGGATTTTTCATAGTCAAACTTAATCGAGTCATGCATTGTGTTTAGGGTCATATTAGGAATTGGATAAAATTTATTCATCAATTAAAAGCATCTGACCGAATTGTTGGAGGCGTTATTATTATTGTATCTTGATTTAAAAAGTCTCTTCTACAAATGGACATTATAAACACATGTCTCTCGAAATTTTCCCATAATGATGTAATCAAGATGTCGTTCCACAATAATTCATTAAAAGTAAATTATGTTTTGTACTCAAATCCTTAATTTTCAAAAAAAAAAACACCTACTGAACATGTGAAACCTATTCTCCTAAAAAAATTGTTTTAAGAGAACGATTTTAGAAATTTCAACCAACAGCAGTACTGGCTGCTCGGTCAATGAATGCCAAATTTTTCCTTATAGTGAAACGCCTAATATTTCCATTAGCATTACCAATTTCTGGAAAAGATGTTTAAGTTTTATAATTTTATCTCTGCAGGAAGCACACGAATCCTTCTCCCGTGCTTATGTTTACCAGAGTAAAATTAGACAAAAAAAACGAAGTCTTGCTGTCATGTCTTGGCCGGAGTTGGCCAGACCTCACTTTCACTTGTTTTTTCTAAATTTTATGTTCCTGTGTCAAAAAATCTTTACTCTACAGCATTCTTGTTCTGACAGAAGTCTTTTTTGAAGCAGTTTTTCGCTGCTCTATCCCTAATTCCATGGCAAATAATGGCACACCTATACGAAAAGTTTTAAAAAAACAATAAAAACATTTTGGCTCTTGTATATAAATACTAGTCATAAAAATAAGCTCCTTGCTAAAATCCCTCAGAGGACATTTGTTCAGTTAAGTTTTTTTCACTGGTAGAAAATTATTTTTTTTTTTTCATGATGGAATATTTGATTTTTATTTCCAGGACGATGAAATATTTTTCATTAATCATTTTTATTTAATGTCTAAAAAAATTTGTTTATCTGAACTATTTTTCAGTCAAAATAAATGGATGTTTTTCAGGGGAGGCCCCATTTGAACGACTTTCTTGGACCTTGAACATTTTAGACAGATGTTCAAAAAAATATGCTCATTTCAAAATAGAAAGACTTTATCCTATTTAGTCAGTTATATTTATGCATTATTCAATTAAATCATGAATCTAACAAGGTCAAATTTTTTTTAATTAGTTTCCTGCCATTTCTAATATGCGTAAATTTTCCCAATTTTTTGTCTTCTTTCCTGCTATTCACCCATAGCTTCGGGGGTGGATTTATATCCTTCCATACCTTTTCCAAGGGTAATAGTACATAAGTTTAATGTAATGGATTCATTTTTTTCTTTCATTCGAACTTTCTTTTATTTACTTCCATTTACTCTTTTTCCTATTTTTTCATTTGGAATTTGCCTCCCTCCTTTCAAATGATTCCTAATTTGCATATCCGTGCGTAAATTAAGATAAAACAACATTACTATATTATGAGTTTATACCGCATTAGCATTAGCAGCAGGAGACACAAACCTTTTCTTGTTAAGGATATATTTATAATAGTAGTAGCAGCAAAGCAGCGAAGTTTGTTGGCATCTTTAAAAGTCGTCCTTTTTTTCCTTCCAAAATTCTTCACCTTTTCTCATCTTTACCTTAAAACATTGGTTCCCGTATGATCACCGAAGTTAAGCAACGTCGAGTCTTGTCAGTACCTAGATGGTTGACCGCTTGTGAATATCGAGTGTGGTAAGCTTGGTTGTACGCGTGGTGCAATGCATAATCGCTCGGAATTGTTAAAAGGTGAGCAGTATTCCAATTCCAGTTGGATTCATTATATTATCATACTCGCAAATATCCTTTTTTTTCTTAATTTATATCCCCCAGCTATGGGTGAATAGCTGGACAGAACAGGTTCTATAGACTTAGATGGCAACTGGTCTACCGCAGAAAGAAATGGCAATCTACCTCGGGAAAAATACATAATCACCTAATCGTGTATCATGCATAGCACATAACTGACTGACTCCTCTTCTATCTCCAGCTATAAGACTTGGATCATTAAATCGTTATTATCTAAAGAAATTCTTACAATCTAAAATCGTTTTCTTACTTTAAATAACCTGAAAAAGCGTTGATAAGTCGTAGAAAACGAAACAGTCAATCAATTTGTGCGTAAGTATATAGGACATTTCTTTGTTAATTTTGTGCTGCAGCTCAGACCAGACACCAGATTCGTCGACAGGGTGCCGCTTCTTCCAATCAAATGCTTGTGGCTAAAAAATTACCCTTCGGACAGATCGTTTACCGACGTGTGAAAAACAAAAGAATTACTAGCAGTAAACCAGATTTTATTCTTAGGTTGAAACCTACTGCTATAAGCGAGCGAAGTAGATATGAAGCCTAGGTGACTCGCTCACTGAAGCCTGCTTTATCATTCTACCTTTTAACTGGATGGTCAGTTTTAGGGATAACAGTTTTCTTTGTCTTGTTCTCTTGGTCTAAAAAAAGTAATCTTCCGTCACTTTCTCTCAGTCTGAGCCTCTTGCTCTGTACTTTGAAGTTGACTTTACTTACTGATAACCATCGGTCGAAAGTAAAGGTTCCATATCCATTTTTGCGACAGGTCACACCTTTTTCAATTTAACAAGACTTCACCTGACTCATATTGCTACATTAAGAATATAGATCTTTGGGATCGGAATCTGTCGTTAACGGAAGGCGTAGCTTTTCCAAAGCCAAATTTGTATTATTTTCATTTTTTATCTATGGCGTCAGTATTTCATAAAATGTTAAACTGTTGCATTTTTCGTTGCGTTTTGCTTTGTTGAATGCGTTTTTGTGTTATAAATTTCTGTACCGTACTTGTAAAATCTTTGACGACACGTACTGAGTGGAAGGTTATTCTCTGTGGGCCTAGCATCTTGAAGGTGATGCATTGCCTTTGGTTAAGTTTTGATCTAAGACTAAAAAAGGGGGGGAGAAAGAATACGGGCAGTACGATTGCGACCGTAGAAAAATCAAGAATGTCTGATGTTGAGCCGAGCCTTACTCTCCCAGATTCCCTTCCGTGATTGTGGCTGCAACAAGACAAACCATAAACATGAAGGTAGCAGGTTGCTCTGTTGATAACTGTACTCTCCATTTCTCCTTTTTTAGTATTTTCTACAAGAAACGATTTAAATAAAGCGAGTAAAAAGAAATCTGGAAAAGAAAATTTTCTCGCGTTGATTCAATCTGTTGATGCAGCGTAGGGGTCCCTCCTGAGGAGTTGCCGATAGGCATTTAGAATCCGGAGACAACAAACAACGCAGGACATATTTGCAAACTCGTGATATCTTTCGATAACATTCATATATATCTAAAGCAAAGTCGGTTTATGATGTTTTAAATCTTCTGTTTAAGTTGGAATTGTAGGTTATGAAAGAAGGTGTAAAAATCTTTGAAATCAAGGATTTACGTCTTGTTCTTATCTTGGAATTGAACACCAAATTTAAGCGAGAAGAGACAAACAGGCCGAATAGCAAAGTCATTGAACGCGTTCCTGGGTGTCTTCACTCATTCCAATATCTATTATTAATACATGATAATGACGTATCGTAAGTAGCGATTTCAGGCACAACTTTGTCAAGTAAAGGCTTTTGGGATTCGTAGACATTATGAATTGAAAATATGGTTTGTTTAAAAAACGAAAAATAAAAAAAACGATAATAAAACAAACCAAAAAATAAAATAAAAACAAAAACAAAACTCGAGGTCCTTCAGGATTTGTATTAAATAGAAAAAAATTTCTAAAAATTTTTCATTATTTACGTTCCTTTTTCAATTTTAATTAACGATCATTAAATTTTCGTGGTTCTCGAGGAAAGTCTCAATGATTAAGAAAATCCTAGTTAAGCAGAAGAAATTGAATGGCAAAAAAAAAAACTTTATTGGATGGAGAAAAATTTCAATATAATTTTCCAGAATTGGATATATTTTTTATATATAGAGAGAAGGACGGCTGATAACTGTTTTGTAAATTATTCTCTTTTTTACCTCACAATATCTATCTATCTATCTATCTATCTATCTATCTATCTATCTATCTATCTATCTATCTAAATCCATTTCTATCTCTCCCTGTTTATATCTACCTGTCTGTCCGCCTGCCTGCCTATCTATCTATCTATCTATCTATCTATCTATCTATCTGATTCTGTTCATTATTTATTCTTTCTTCTTATTTCTTTCATTCTTCCTTCTCTATTTTCATTCTTTTTCTTTCTTTCTTTCTCATTCTATTCATTATCTTATCTTTTCTTCTATCTATCTATCTATCTATTCTTTTCTTTCTTTCTTTCTTTCTTTCATTCTTTCTTTCTTTCATTTATTTCATTATCATTCTTTATCATTATCTTATCTATTATCTATCCTATCTATCTATCTCATCCATTTCATTTTTTTCCATTTCTCTTTCTTTCTTTGTGTTTTTTTCTTTTTTTTTTCTTTCTTTTTTTCTTTCTCATTCTGTTCATTATCTATTATCTATCTATCTATCTATCTCTATCTTTTATTTTTTCATTTGTTTTCGATGTCAAACTTCATAATTTAGTTTTCGGCATAAATTCCCACCAGTAAGTCGACAATATTCCTATCAAATTGTGTACATATCGTCCTCACCATATAAGTTGGCTAAATTAGTTGTCTCAGCGTGGAGTAATGGTCAACCAGCTCGTATTACCCACCATTAACACTCTCTCGAGTTCGATCCTTAGTAGGTTTTGGCACACTTTTGGGTCCCTTTTTTATCTCAATTATATTAAGTAAATAAGCGAATTTATTTTTACGTTGAAAGATGATATAATTTAGAAACATACGACGCAGCCTCACGAATCCTTCATAACGAAAGAACCATTTTTCGGTGATGTCAAGCTCTCGGAGACCGTTCTTCGATCTTATACAATCCATGGATATCTTAATTTGAAATGGAAATTATAGCTTTCCATAAATTCTAGGATGGTGTCAAGAAAAATCTGACAGCATTCATTTAGTTTCTAATGATGACCGAGTTGAACAAAATGATCCAGAAATTGGATTATGGATCACGACATCTTACTAAAAAATCAGAAAAATCAAAATCAAACTATTAAACCATAAGCTCACTGACGAAAAATGACAGTCCCTACATAGCCTTGATTCCTATGGCCACACTCTTTATATCGATATACATTCTATCTTCAATATTACGCATAAAAATATAGAAAATTTTACCATATATATATATATATATATATATATATATATATATATATATATATATATGTATGTATCTATGCCATGAAATATAAAAAAATGCTAAAAGCAATGGCAGCCTTATTAATAGAAGCAAAAAACTAACACTTAATAATATCAACTATAAACATTGACACAGTATCTTGTCAGTGTCTTTAAAAATGGAAACATTATATAACACACATGCAAAGAACTATTTCTTATTTAACAGTAAAAATATTTAATCATATAAAATGGCTAAATGAATAGCCGAAAGCATTCGGATAAAAAAAAAAAAACATTCATGACAGTTTTTTATAATTTTATCATACAAAAAAAAAAAAGATCATTATTGAAATTGTATAAAAAAACTAAATCAAAACTTACCTTGTCTGTCATATTCAATGAAATGTGCATAAAAAAGAACGATTGCTGCCTAAATACACACACACACACATCATATATATATATATATATATATATATATATATATATATATATATATATATATACTATGATAAAAATATAGTTTTAAGGTATACTATAGATTATGGATTAACGTGGTCAATATCAGAATAGACCATATATATATATATATATATATATATATATATATATATATATATATATAGGAAAAATATAATCTTAAGGTGTGCCATATTTCTGGGATAAATTGCTCAATATCAGAGATAGATCGTGTGTAAATATAAAATTCTGAACATAGAAGTTGAATATTTAGAGGTCGACAGTCTGTTTTGCATGCTCAGGCCTTTTTGATTGCATATAGCATGAAACAGACTGTCGCCTCAAAGTGTTGAAAATTATTTCACACACACATTTCATTTATATATATATATATATATGTGTGTGGGGGATTTTTAAATATAAGTAAATATATTTGTAAAAGCATAAAATAAATGAGAAGGGGAAAAAGAAATCTTATTACCTGGAAGTGTTTAATTCTCTGAGCAACACTTTGGCTAATTCAAGAGCAGGTCTTAATAAATTGGATTAAGGAAATCTTGAACCTGGGTGCAGCACAAATACGTCTTTCAAACCTGATTTCTAATTGCAGTCGGCATAACCCAGTGAAAATGCTGATGGCCATATGACGATGAAACACCGGTTCTCGTACGATCACCGAAGTTAAGTAACGCCAAGCCTGATCACTACCTAGATGGGTGACTGCTCAAGAATATCAGATGTTGGATGTGCGGGTGCTGTAGTGGATAATGGTTTTGAATTGTTAATATGAGAGCCGAGTTACAATTTCAGTTGGGGTCGTTTTATTCACATGTGCACAAATACCGTTCAGAAAAAGCTATGGGTTAATTAGTAAGACTTGTATCAATAAACCATTATTATCTTCACAAAATATTATTATAATCTAAAACCATTTTCTGGCTTTAAATAACCTGAAAAGGTTGGTAAGTCGTAAAAAAGTTTCAATTAATCAATTTTGTGTCATATATATATAACTAAAATAAATCCTAAAGAGCCAGGAAAACCTAGAGAGAGAGCGACAGAGAGAGAGGGAGAGATAGAGAGAATACTACCTGTACGTATTTGTGTGAACGCAGTAAACCTAAAAAGCAAGTTTCTTCTATATGCCAAATTTCTTAAAGACGCGGTCGATCATAGCTCTCTACAACTTCTAAATCATTTGCAACCCTTGAGAAATGCTTGTTATTCTTCCAGTTTGTTCTACTCCATTTACAAAGCTCTCTGGGCAGGTTAAAGGCTCTTTCGCTTTATCTTTTTTTTTTTACAATTTCTCTTTTTCAAATTTTCTAACCCTCTTTATAAATTATGTTTCTTAAAAATTGACTTTAAAATAATTTTAAATAATTGTCTATTTTTATATATATATATATATATATATGAAAAAAATTTTTTAAAAAAACAAAAATCCTTAAATGTAGTTAAATTTTAGAAATGTCGACGTCTGACGTTTCGGTTTAAAAACCTTTTTCAAGACAATATTCATCAAAATACAATTCAGTTCAATTTGACAAATACGATGGACATAAAAACACAAGTCTTATTCAGAACAGATAACTGAAAATTTTTAAAATGATCAAATCTAACATGGTCACGCTGTCGTCACATGGGCGACGCTTTCCGTACGTATTCCTAAAAGTTTGTGATTATTTTGAAATGAAAAAAAAAATAAAATGAAAAATATTCTATTAGGTTCTAAAAGATAAATTAAATGTATGACGATGTATTTATCTACCCACATAAGGATGATTTAAAAAAAGATTAATGATAGATTAAATAGAATAGAACCTTATTGAATTTCCTCCATGAACTTGAATCTAATAATTCATACCTTTTTTAGACATTTAGCATTAAAAATAAAATAAATTAGAATTCAAAGTAAAAATCGTAAATATACATTCCAAAATGACTATTTATCCTTTTACTGTCACCATAATACTATTTAAGAAATTGGATTCTATTTGAGGGCTCTTTCATCTGTTCATCAAAATATTTAAATGATGAATTTTATATTGAGGATACTTTCAAATCTTTCGTATCCGAGACAATTATATACAAAGAGCAAAAAATAAATTGTTGAAAATTTACTATTCAGCGAATTTGACACCTTCAAAAGATATAATTATATATAAATTATCAGATATATAATTTCAGCTACCTCTGATATAATATTTCGTTTGGTCGCATCTTTTTTACCAAATAACCATTTGACCGAACGTATCTCTCATAATCTAAATGCATTAAAAATTAGAACTACTATATTAAACTATAAAGGAAATCCGTAGTTTATTAAATAGCACCAGCAGACAAATTTTATCCGATGCTTGCATCTATCAAATATCATTATAAAAATTGTATATATATAAAATATGGGTGGGTGAAACAGGTAGGTCCTTAAAATCTCGTTTTTTCGAACATAAACGAGATATTCGTCTCGGTATTTTAACAATGCTTTAGTTGTACACATGACTAAAGCAGATCATAATTTCGATTTCGATTCCGTAAAAGTATTAAAATATTTTCATAATAAAAAATCTCAGGAGGATTTATGAAGCAGGTATAATATCCATCTCACGCACGGTGAATACTAGACCTGGTTTCTTTAATATTTCCCCTTTTTTAGCGAGATTGATGCTCGACAAGCATACACATAAGAATTTTTAGAACCTAATAGAATTCTTTTCATTTTCTTTTTTTTTTTCATTTCAAAATAATCACAAACTTTTAGGAATACGTTATGAAAGCGTCGCCCATGTGACGACAGCGTGACCATGTTAGACGGAAGGCTGATCATTTTAAAAATTTTCAGTTATCTGTTCTGAATAAGACTTGTGTTTTTATGTCCATCGTATTTGTCATATTGAACTGAATTGTATTTTTGATGAATATTGTCTTGAAAAGGTTTAATAAACCGAAACGTCAGACGTCGACATTTCTTTCATTTAACTACATTTAAGATTTTTGTTTGTTTTTTTCAAAATTTCTTCATTCTGTCGGATTTATATCCATTTACACTTGCTTATATATATATATATATATATATATATATATATATATATATATATATATATATAAAAATTTAAATAAAAAAAAACTGGGGCTCCATTGTAATAATTTATTTCACCAGAGAATTTTAATCTTCTCTGATCCTCAGACTTCAAAAAGGTGAAACGAAAAAATGAAAAATTTAAAAAAATTATTGAAATATAAACGAGAGGGTGTTGAGGGATGGTATGAGAGACATGGTCGAGTTTATGAGAGGAAGAATAGTTTTAAAATTTATTTTTATATTTCTTTTACTTTAATATTGAGCATTTAGAAGGAAACATTGATCTATTTAATCGGTCATATAATGGAAATGATATGGGAAAAGGAAAAGGATAAAAAAGGGAAAAAAGAAAAAAAGGGGAAGTAAAGAGATAAGAGATGTACGTACAGTTTTTGAAGGAAGAAGAGGGGTGATATAGCTTTAACAATTTAGATAAAAAACTGGTATATATATATATATAAAAATAATGATGTCAAAAAACCAAAAACATGGATAAAAATTTAGAATATAAAATATATTAACCTGATATCAGGTAGAAAAAGAAAAAACTAAAAACATTCTTGTTGCTCGAAAAAATCACCCAACACTGCAATGCCTAGCGAAAAAAAAAAGAAAAAAAAAGTGCTCCAAAAAAAAAGGTGCTCTGTGCACTAAGCAGAGCAAAGTATAAAAATGACCTAGTGAACCAGGATCTACTAACAAATGTTCAGGGTAAAACTGGCTAAAGATGATAGGACGAAACGACATATTTATAGCTAAAAACGACCTCCATATATTAAAATTAGCATACAACCAATAATTGCTAAAAAGATAATTTTTTTATTTTATCTTTTTAACTATTTAGCTTTTTATGGTTTTATGCTAATTCATTTGGTTTAAAAATATATAAAACTCTTCTATTCATACCAGAGGTCCCTTTAAGATAGTTCTAAAATATATGTTCAAATAATTTTAAAAAAAAAGAAAAATTAACCCGTTGTCAGGGATATAAATATATTTTTTGCCGAAAGTAAGGTTTCGAGCCGTTAATATGACAATTCCCCGAGACATATATGAATACCATACATCCCTCAATCTCTAACCTATGTTCTTAAGTTTTGAAATTTAGCGTTGACCTTCATTCTGATTAATTAAAATTGACACACCCATAAGATCTAAAAATTGTGATCCCCTCCCCATATCAACTTTTAATAAACATTTCAGCAAAGTTACCAAACACTGCAGAATGACGAGATAAATAAGTTTAAGTCTCGAAACATAGAAATTTCCGTGTCACAATGTAAAATAGTTTTAATAAAAATATCATTAAAAAAATAATATGCTCTCCATTGTATTGAGCACTTTCTTTTAAACGGTAAATATCAGTAAACTGTGGATTCTAAACCTGTTTTTCCTTTCTCTTCATATATATATATATATATATATATATATATATATATATATATATATATATAGTCTTAAGATGTGCTATACTTATAGGATAAAGTTCTCAATATCAGAGATAGAGCGTGTGTAAATATAAAAGTGAACATAGGAGTCAACACTTAGAGGCAAGAGTCTGTTTCAGGCCAGACAATTGTATCTAGCATGAAACAGATTGTCGCCTTTAAGTGTTGACTTCAATATTCTTCACCGTTATATTTATATTTATATACGCTCTATCTCTGATATTGAGCACATTATACCATAAATATAGCACACCTTAAAAAAAATATTTCTTCATATATATATATATATATATATATATATATATATATATATATATATTGTGTATAACCAGTTTAACTCAAGTTTGGTTCGAATCAATATACTGTGCTTAAATTAAAAAAATGGTCTTGGTGTCATAAATGAAAGCAATATTTATATTGCGTAATACAAAAATATGACACAGGGGAAAAAGAGGAGAAAGTTGGACTTTAATCTGTCTTTTCTTAAACTTTCCTAGCCACGATTACTGACCCCAATATACCACACTATTCCTTACACCAAAACGAGATATTCTTTCTTACCATTCTTAATACAGACACCATAATGTCTATCTATGTAGTCTTAACTTGTTCACATATGTATGGCAGGGGGAAGAAAATAACAACATTTAAAAATGAAACCCCAATGAATACTATAAAGTAAGGTTCATCAGAAAAATTACCATGAAAGCATTTATAGAAGCAGAGAGAAGATTACGTTACAGCGGTAGGTAAGTGACTGAACCCGGAATCTTTACATATCTATCTATCTATCTATCTATCTATCTATCTATCTATCTCAGTCAATGCATTATCTACCCATCTGTTAATAGTAGTTAAATGACTGACGTTGGTATGCCATGTCAGGGCCAATAACATTGGAAATTATACTTTGCTATCTATCTATCTGTCTATCTCAGTCAATACATTATCTACCCTTCTGTTAACAGTAGGTAATTGACTGAAGTCAGAATGCCAGGTCAGGACCAATAGCATAGGAAATTATTCTTTGCTATCTATCTATCTATCTATCTATCTATCTATCTATCTATCTATCCTTTCCCCAAATCAGTCTCTTTTCTTTACAAACAGGAAATTAGTATCCCGTTCCTGCACAACCAAAACGACCGCCTGGGGCTGATAAATTATGAAGCTATCAACAATAACCACAATTCAAAGCTGAAACCCCCTTCTAACCAAAACCACATTTTTAGCATCCAAAATGGTCTTCGAGTAAACTTTTCGTCTCCACAAGATCCCAAATTACCAGAATTACTGTCACAGGTAAATTTACAATTACCAATTCCTTTCGCCACGCCATTTTTATTGACATTTATTTCTCTAAGGAAGATTCGTGCTTATCAAGAGACAACATTATTTCGCTGTATTCATCTTGTAGTTTTACGTTTTTAATTCCTATGTATCTGCATTGGCAAAATCACCTCAAACTGAAAGTGATGCTGCCTTTTCATATAAAAGAAAAGCTCCAAGAGGTGAGTTTCCTTGTATTCCTCAGCATGAGGTTTGGTTTTAAGTAAATAGTTATAGGAAGAGAGAATTTATGAAAAAGGTCCAATCTATATGAATTCAAAATGAATCAACGAATTCTGGTCAGAAGACAAGATCTGGTCAGAAGACAAGATCTGGTCAGTAGAAAAGATCTGGTCAGAAGACAAGATCTGGTCAGAAGACAAGATCTGGTCAGTAGAAAAGATCTAGTCATTATGAACGAGATGGAAGCTTTGTTAATCAGACCTGCATGATCATTTTGATCGTTATGTTCCCAACGATTCTTTCTGGTATCTGTCATTTTACTCTGTAACTTTCTTAGCTTTTAACTGAACACTTTATTCAAGCAACGGGACTATATTTTTCCCTTTCTGTTCTCCACGCTTAGGGGCCATTTCATATCAGTTGACACTCACTAGTCGTATTCCATTTCATGTCGTTTGTCTGTTTCTTCTTCTAAATTAAAGGCTGTTCACTTTTCAGCACTGCTAGGGATCCAACTCACAACTGCCACGGGACAACGCAAAGGCATATAATAAGGATGATCCCTTATATAAAAAATATCTAGCATAAAGTTTCTTCCTCTATTTTTTCTCTCTCTCACTCTCTCTCTGTCTGTCTCTCTCTCTCTCTTTCTCTCTCTATCTCTCTATATATATATATAATGACTTGAGGTGAAATGTGCATCAACATCAGACAAAATGATAGAATAACGAACAAGGTTTTGTCAGCACGAATTCCTAAGTCATCGTGATCAAGGGTTTGAGTGTACTGTCCTTGTTCAAATTTTTTGCAAGGTTATGTGCTCTCTCCCAGAAACAGTAACTAAGGTCCGCTCAGCATAGTTGCACTATAAACCACTGACATCCTCGAATACAAGTGGCTATACATCCATCGATCAATTCATATATATATATATATATATATATATATATATATATATATATATATATATATATATATGGATATGTGTGTTTTTTTGTGGGTGTAATAAATCTGATGATTTACTGAAGTGTAAAACCGACAGTCTTTATGCTGTATTGATTTGTACGTTCACACTGTCTATATACATAAAATGCTTTATCTTTGGTACTGAACACTATTCCGCTATTGAAATAGCAAATTTTAATAGCTATATTGCTTAAAATCTTGTATATTTACAATGGAACTGATTCCTATATCGAGGCCAGAGTGCGTATAGATTTAAACAGTGTGGTCAAAGAAAACCATATGGTATAGTGACAGTCAGTCTCTCTCCCGTGAGCCTTACATCGAACCATACATACATACATACATATATATATATATATATATATATATATATATATATGAATGAATGATAAGATAGAGAAAAAATAGGAAACGTTTATCAATCTAGTATGTTTCACTTTTATTAAAGCTTCATCAATGATTAAGATAAATCAGACAGAACTTTGTTATTTTCATTTTTGTTTGGTTCGATTCTCATTGGTCAGTAATTTTACAAATTTACATACATATTGAATTGTCTAGGGTCTTAATGCACGTTACACATAACTGACCAATGAGAATATAGTGCAGCTATGCTGAGTTGACTTTAGATTCAATATCTGGCATTGAATGCATAATCTGGTGTAATCAACAATTTGAACAGGGCTCGCACCAAATCAAGAGACATCGTAATCGAGGACTTGAGTGTGTTGGTGTTATTCAAACTGCTGATCATGCGAGATTATTTACTCACTTTTATATTCTGCAACTAAGCTCTGATCATCACAGTTGCAGAATATAATACAGGTGGATTCTTTGGGGTGTGGAAGAAACATAAATTTGACCGAACAAGTCTTTATAACAGGAATTGGTTAGCCGCCTTAACACACGCACACGCACACACAAGTGTGTGTGTATGGTGAGAGAGATATGATAGAATAAGAAACAAATAGGAAACATTTAAAAATTTAACATGTGCCTGAGCAGGCGTCTGCAACAGAGATTAGCGAGTTGCACTAGCCGGTATGTGTGTTTGGATTTGTCGGCTGTTATATATATATATATATATATATATATATATATATATATATATATATACTAATAACTATACGTATAGTATCTACTCAGCACCTGAAGATTGCTTTGGAACTCCGAGTGATGCTACCGGTGAGAAATAGCATATATATATATATATATATATGTGTGTGTGTGTGTGTGTGTGTGTGTGTGTGTGTGTGTGAGTGTCTGAAAGAGAGGGTATCAAAAATACTTTTAGAAATTTTAGAAGCGGGTTCCTCAAACTAAACAAGGAGAAAAGTCCATATAAACATACGTCTGCAAATCCTTCATTTTTGAGTTTAAAGAAAATTTACGGTAAATGGCCGTGTGTTGCCATGTAGACTAGGTTATATTTGCCATTCGTGTACATTTTTGGCTAGTCAATCTTCAACGTTTAATGTGTGTAGTAGTGAGTTAATTGAGAAGTGCTCCATTCATCAATGGCTGGATATTCGTATCGTTAGCATGCAGATACGATTTTTGCATACAGCCGCGCGATTGGTAATAGACGCCAGGTTGCATGGTTTTATCAAATGTCGTTTTCAGACCGAAAGAAGCTTAGTCATCCAACTTTTGCTCCTGTTTATCATCGCGTAGCTGAGACAGGATCTGTGGCACCACAAACTATAGTAATAAGTATTTATGGATTGTATCTTGGATTGCATATTTAACAGCGTCTACAATAAACTTTAAACTTAACTTAAAAAAGAAAAGATTTGCGGATATATAGTTTAGGATAGCCTGAATTCTTTTATGGATTGTCTTTCCAAATGGAAAAAAAATATTGTCAACCAATTTTGGTTCTTACTTTATCGAATAGCGATTGACAACATTGCAGGACGGGATTTTGCCAAGAACCATTTTATGTATGTATTTAATGTATGTATTTAATGTATGTATTTAATGTATATATTTAACGTATATATTTAATGTATATACTTTTTTAGCTTAGAGTTATTGGTGGGACCATGTTTCCTTTCATTTGTCGGCTCTTCTGTTTGATTTTAGTTGATAGTTCTCTTGTTAGAACCATTTCTTTATTTTCTCAGCTCTTTTGGAAACATTTCTTTTTTTGGGATTTCCTTTGTTAGAATCCCGTTTCCTTTCAATTGATAAATCTCTTGTTTTAGTCTTGTTTCATGTCAGTTGGCAGCTTTCTTGTAGGGGCCATGTTTCCTTTTAGTTAACTGCTTTCTTTTTGGAGTCATATTTCCACTCAGTTAGGAGCTATCTTCAGCCATGTTGCATTTTATTTACCAGTTATATTTAGCCATGTTTCCTTTCAGTTTATATTTCTTATTGGAGACATGTATCCCTTCAGCTTAGAGAGCTTCTTGCATGGTTACTCTTATTTTCCAGCTTCCTTTCATTATACAGGGTGACCCCCAAAAATGGGAACTTTTTAACAATCCAATAAAACCAAGAGTAATGGAAGAAAAAAATTTTTATTCATAGTAATTGGGACCTTAAAACATGCCATTGAAGAAACAATGATGGAATTTTCATTTTTTTAAAATTACGTCCTGTAGATGGCGTCCTCCTGTACGAACGTATTCTTGAAATCTGCTGTTGAGATTCCTCATTGACTGCTGCAACATCTCAGCTGGGATACTGTAAATTTCATCTTGAATTCTAAATGGCGAAATGTTTACTTGCTCAAGGTCACTGTCTCGCAGTGTTGCCACTTGCTCATGTCTGGTAATACGCACTTCAGAAATTCCCAATTTTTGGGGTCACCCTATATTTGCTTTCCGTTGATTACTATCTTGTGGAAGGAGGCATATTTCCTTTCTGTTGACAGCTGACTAGTATGAGCCTTGTTTTTTCTCAATTAGGAACTCACTTGATGGAGCCATGATTCCTCAAAGGTGGGAGAACTTTATCTAGGCAGACGTTAATTCAATATGGTATGTGAAATTTAAAAAATTAAAAGATAGTTATTCTAATGGTATTTGATTTTTGTAGACAAAGCCAAATTAAAACCCGACTGTGAACAAGAGATAAAGTTAGAATAAAAGAATCGTTAATAAGATTGTTTAGATCTGGAATTAGTTCAGATTTTTGATAAAAATAGATATTTGTTAAGTTGTCTTTATTGGTCTATCATCTATCTATCTATCTATCTATCTTCTATCTATCTATCTATCTATGTCAGTTTTTTCATTATCTGTTTGCCTGTCTCTCATTCAATCATCTATCTATCTCTCTTCATTATCTGTATGTCTTTCTCTATCTATCTCCTATTTCTCTTCATCTCTTGCTATCTATCTATCTATCTATCTATTTATCTATTTCTTTCATTATCTATCATCTATCTATCTATCTATCTATCAAAAAGTCTCTTCTTTTTTCTTAATGGGGGATATCTCTTTAAAGTAAAGATCATTATCTATCTATGTCTATTTTCATTATCTATATATCTATCTCTCTATCTATCTAAGGATCTTTCATTATCTATCTATCTATCTATCTATCTATCTATTTTGTTTTTATTCATATCTATCTATCTGATATCTATCTATCTATCTATCTATCTATCTATCTATCTATGCCATCTCTTCTTTATCATGCATTCTCTCTCTCTCTCTCTCTCTATCTATATATATATCTATGTCAATGTCTTCATTATCTGTATGTTTGTCTCTCTCTCTCTCTCTTATCTTTTATCTATGTCAGTTTTTTCATTATTTATCTATCTATCTATCTATCTATCTATTTAAACATCTATCTAGGTATCTTTTTTATCTATCATCTCTCTCTCTCTCTTTTCTCTCTCTATCTATCTATCTATTTATCTATGTCAGTGTCTTCATTATCTGTAAAACCTTTATGTAATTCTTGGATTATCTATCTATCTATGTCAGTCTCGTCATTATCTGTATGCCTGTCTCTCTCTCTCTCTCTCTCTATCTATCTATGTCAGTCTCTCATTTTGCCTAGACGAAACTTTGCCCGACTGTCGCTTACTCAATAGCTATGTCTGTCAAATGTTCAAATCAGCTCACTTCTGTCAGCTCAAACCTTTTCTCGCTCGGAAATTTGAACCAACCTCCGTGTTTCAAATCTAAGGAGAAATTTACACTTGATGCATAATGAAAGTGTGAACGTTGACGTTAGCTCGTCCAAAAATAAAGATGCTCAGAGCCTTGTAGTCGATCTCTTCGATGACCTAACATTAACAGATCAATTCTAAAAAATAACTGATATCTTTTTTTGAAAAAACAAAAAAAGACTCCCACGAAACTGCTTCACTGAACACTTCAATGTTGAACTCTTCGTCCAAACTCAATCGTTATTCCCCCTTATCGTCATAACCTTTACTTTCCTAGCACTTTCTCTTCCATTCATATTATCCACCTTATTCATCATTCTGACTGTATTCTTGTACTTTCGCGAGAAACCGCCATTTTTTGTGTCAATTCTTTACAAATCTTGCTAAGTATTGCAGTACACTTTTCTTGTGTATTCTCAATAACGCAAGTCTCAAGAGCCACTCCATACAGAATTTACTTTCTCATATTCGCTCACACACAGAAAAACAGAGGTTTTTATGTATGTTAAATGAATATGAAAAAAAAAACGAGATCAAAATAGAGAAAAAAAAAAAAATCTAAGAATCCAGACGACTCTAGTTTTGCGATTGACATTGCATTTAAATTTTTGAACATTAAGTTTGACTGGAAAAAAAAAATTAATATGTGTTCCACGATCGAGAATTCAAAGAAGAAACTGTTTATAGAACTTACAATTGGTCTCGCCATTCAAAACATGATGAGACCTTTCCTCCAATCTAATACTGCGCTTAAATTCATCATCTATCAATTGTTTCGATGAAAGTATTTTAGAAAAATCCCCAATGTGAGCTTCTACGTTACCGCAACATATTAATTAACTCTGAAGTCATATAGATGCCATATCAGGAAAAAGTAACATTGCAGATTCATCTTTGTATCATGTAGAATATCTATATACATAGCATGAATCATGAGACCAAATGTGGCAGCAATATTCGATGTCATGGACGAATGGTATATATATATATATATATATATATATATATATATATATATATATATATATAAAAAAAAACAAAAAGATATATAATATATTGTGTTATAGATATTTTTATTTTTACAAAATAGTTGCTTTTTTGTAAATTTACAGAGCATTAATATTATAAATTGATTTGTTTAAAATTATGTTTTTCCCAAAATATTTCTAACCATGTTTCAAAAATGGAAAAAAGTACGATTTAATTTTTAAAAAAATTAAATTATATACATTAATTCCATTTCATCCTCAAAATTTTCAAAATTAAATTCGTATATTTTATATATATTTTGAAACATGGTTATTTTTTTTGGGGATATAAATTTTATTTTCAAAAAAATTTATCGTATAGTTCTATATCATATATATATATATATATATATATATATATATATGTATAAGATAGATTCTCTTGAGAAACCAACTTTCCTGTTTTTCAAACATAAAAATTGATCCAAAATTTTGTTTTCCACGTTACCGGAAAACGTTAAATAAGGTGGTAATGGGTTTTAATGTCTCCTTTAAAGAGCATTAGATATGCTGATAGAATGCAAACCTTGTTGTCTCATAAACAATTAAAACAGGGACGTATTGGAGGAGCTAAAATTAACAAGCCCTTCCTTCTCCCAGTTAACAAATTGTAGGCTACTTTTAAGATCAGCTGGCAATTTGACTTTATCGAACCGATCAGAATTACTATTAAGACATGAATATCAGAGGAGGTAGAAGAAAGTGAAGATCATGGGGATAAGGAGGATATATAGCGAATAGCCTTTAATCGTGAAGGGCTTAAGATTGTAGTGTTGAAGAGAGAACCCCCCCACCGCGAAAATTTTTTTCACATAGTAGCTGTTCTTGTGAAAAAGCTGTTCGTGACAACTTCCTTCTTACGAATAGAATACGAGCGAAATGTGAGTGATTAGACACCGTGGAGGTAGTATGGCGAATTCTCGCTTTAAAGGTTTGAACTGGTGGAACTAAAGAGTGGGACATTTGCCATAGAAATAAGCATAGGACGTTGCGTTTGTGGGAAGGTTCACAGAAACTCGTTCAAAAAAGATGTTCAAAGTTTTACAGCTGATCTCTCCGCTGACCTAACACTAAGAGGTCAATGGAAAGAAAGAACGACCTTGTAACTTTCAATCAGTCTAAAACCAAGCAAGTTAGATTTAATCATTTCCAATCGGACCATGTGCTTTCTTCTAAGCTGTATCTACTGCAAGGAATGTTTGATCACTGCGTCGTGCCAAAAGATTTTTCTCATATATATATATATATATATATATATATATATATATATATATTATTTTAGATATTAAAACAAAAAACATGTTGAAATATTCTCTCATTTATATATATTCGGCATATTCTCATCTTTATATGTATATATTTATCTCTATATAAAAGGCAGGATGTGTGTGTGTGTGTGTGTGTGTGTGTGTGTGTGTGTGTGTGTGTGTGTGGCCGCACGTTTCAGATTAATTTGCACCAAAATTTACATGCACATGCTCCAAGTTAGTGGGAAGGCCAAGACCGACTTTGCATTTCCCAACTCCCATCGATAGTGGAAATAATCGATTTTTTTCATGCTTCTACGGCAGTTTTCATGTAGTTTGCGGCCATTTTTTGGCCAGAGTGAGAGCCTATAGCTGGCTGCCAAAATAGGCAGGAAGATTTTCCTGCATTGGCCAGCGTGAGCCAACAGCTGACTGACACGAATGTTAACAGCATGCTAGCATGCAAAAAATCGATAACTGCATTCATCACAAGTGGGAAAAATTTAAATCTGCATGGCACTTTACTCAATTGGCTCATTCGCTTGCTTAAACTCAACGTTGATTCTGATTCCGCAGAACTGGGTTGGGTGTGAAAAAAGTATTTGTTGTTAACATTCTTTTTCATTCAGTTTTTCCAGTTACGAGTCCTTTTTTAAAGCTGATCGTTTTGTGTTCATTTTGTTTAGTTCTTTTTTTCGTAACAGATTTAATGTTTAGTATAGAGCTTAGAAAAAATTCGCAGTGTGAGATAGGCAAGAAGTAAGGCATGTAGCAACATCAGCACGGCAAAGGGCACTCCTTTAAAGGCAAGGAAGGGCAAAAATATTTTAAGTCAAGTGATAGCGATTGCTGTATGAAAAAAACGATTTTTTGAATCAATGGCAACGGGCAACATGCTGCTAGTATATATATATATATATATATATATATATATATATATATAAAAATGAGTTAAAAAATAAAAATTAACACGTTGGGTGCATCATCCGGATTACTTAGTATTTTTGTTTTTATTTTTGTTATAGACAGTTTATTCATACAGAATAGAGATTATATTATAATAAAACTAGAGAATGACACCAACACTTAGGCGCGAAATAAATATCCCCCTGGAACCTTAGAGCAAAACCTCTCAGAAGATGATGAATCTATAGATAAGAATTAACTCTCTGACCACTTAACGAAGGAAACTAGCCTAGCCACTCCCACAATAACAAATTTGGTAACGGACCATGCCTAAAAAACACACGTAAACCAAAAGATACTTATTTCTAAATTGTCGCTTGAAGATGAAACGGGACTAAACACCTTAATTCAATTTAATTTTTAATAATTATTTGGATGGTTTCGGTTCTCGTTTTTTAAAACATGAGAACTATTATATAGAAGAAGGGATCATATTTTTTAAATAAAAATATTATATATATATATATATATATATATATATATATATATATATATATATATAGGTATGATGAGAACGAATATATAATTCCAATTTTCAGGCATTTAATTTATTTAAAAAATGCTCAATACAAAAAATAGAGCAATATTCTTTTTTATTTGTTACACAATTCCAGTCAAAATTCGATGGTGTCATTGCATCTCATCATTGTTTAAATTACAATCGCTTAGATGAAATGCATTGATACGTATATTCTTTGACATGTTTTCGATGTAATATCTTAAATATATATATATATATATATATATATATATATATATATATATATATATATATTCTGTTGATATTTTATTTGTCTGATTTTATATTTTGAATTTCGTTTTCCTATAGATATGTTTTGATTTTCTCCACTGCACAGTAGGGTTTAGTTATATATTTTGAGAAGAAAGCACCATTTGCAATTCACTTCACTCTAAATTTGGAATTATGCTGTATAACTTGGCATTCGTACCGAAAACTTCAAAAAAAAAAATTTCAAAAAATTTGGGTGTCAATTCATTTAAGTGCAAAAGATTCAGAAAGAGTTGGATTATATATTTTAAATCCAGCATCATGATATTTTGAGTTTTCACTAATGATATTTGACGTATATTTATCCATTCATCTTCTCATATCTATTCACACTCAACATCCTGTGACTTGTTTTTTGCTAAGCGTTGGTTGGATTCCAGTGATATGATTCAAATAAATTGTAATTCAATACCTTTTAAATGCAGTGGTGAATAAAAATTGGAGAGTTGAGTTAAATGGAAATAACTTCAAAATTTCAAAATGAAAAAATTAATACATTGGAACTAGAACAATCTATAGTCAGTGGATCAAATAAATATTCAGATTAAAATTCCAAACACTTGTTGAATGTCCATGGAATTACATTTACCAACGTTGTGAATATGGCGACAAAGATGAACACTTACATCCGAACAATGTAAATAATTATTTTAAATAATTTTTATTAAATATAAACTATCTATAATCTAGACATACTTCTAGTAATATAAAATAGAAAAAATTAATAAATTAATTCATACTTATAATGAAATGAGTTCTCGAATAATGAAACATTTTCAGTAAATAAAAAACGTTAAAATTCCATTTATTCAATTTCATAATCGCAAAAGTTGGCCTTAATTGGGAAAATAAATTTCTGATGTCAAATCTATTTGGGTTTCCCACTCATAA